TCTCTTTGCTTGAACTTTCGAGAGAGAGAGATCGACATCGTATGTTCATAATAATAATAATGATAATAATGACCTTTATCAATCTTGCGTATACTCGTACAACATGAAATAAAATAAAGTAATATAGCTCAAGTATGGTTGGGAGGAACCCAATCAGTCAAGGCTGGTCATCCCCTGGAAAATTATAGGTCAGAAGAAACTTCAATGGCAATAACATGAAGCATCGAGCTTTGAGTCAAGCCCCTGAGAATTTTAGTTTGGAAATTTTGGGAATGTCGACTTATACGTCTACTTGTACTTTGGAAATGACGTCATATTGTATAGAATTGAATTTTCAGCAATCAGAGAACGATTTGATAATATCTTCATTTTGGCGTAGCCTGATGAGGATACATTTTTTGCCGGAACCCTAGCTGATTATTTCGATACAAAAATGTTCACATAGTGGTTTGAATATTCTTATGTTACTCGATGGAAGAAAAAATCATAAATGAAAAACAATCACTGTAATGAAACAAATATTTGATGTGGAAATTGAGATTTTTCAACACATTTTTCTATAATAGTACTGAAATTAGGCTTTATGTCCGACAATTGGATGCGAAGATCCGAAGCTGCATCCTATCTGTTTCTGTATTTATTTTTTGTTAGCTGAAAATTCAGTCTGGCATCGATTAGTCGCACAAATGAAAGCAGAACTGAGATAAGTAGGTTTTTCAACAATTGCGGGATATTTAGATCTTCGACACAGCGCCCTTCTACGGAACCTCAGGGTTCCGCGGACCACCATTTAGAAGTCTAAGGTCTGGAATACTATTTCTGCTACTTTGAGAACTTCTGTTTTGTACCAGAACAGAAATTAATTGAAAAAAAAACATAATGTTGATTCAGTAAATGACGAAAATTCATATATGAATAGTAAGTTTGGAAATTTTGGGAATGTCGACTTATACGTCTACTCGTACTTTGGAAATGACGCCATATTGTATAGAATTGAATTTTCAGCAATCAGAGAACGATTTGATAATATCTTCATTTTGGCGTAGCCTGATGAGGACACATTTTTTGCCGGAACCCTAGTTGGTTATTTCAATACAAAAATGTTCACATAGTAGTTTGAATATTGTTATGTTACTTGAAAGAAGGAAAAATCATAAATGAAAAACAATCACTATAATGAAACAAATATTTGATGTGGAGATTGAGATTTTTCAACACATTTTCCTATAATAGTACTGAAATTAGGCTTTATGTCTGACAATTGGATGCGAAGATCCGAAGCTGCATCCTATCTGTTTCTGTATTTATTTTTTGTAAGCTGAAAATTCAGTCTGGCATCGATTAGTTATGAAAGCAAAACTGAGATAAGTAGGGTTTTCAACAATTGCGGGATATTTAGATCTTCGACACAGCGTCTATGTACAAATTAAATCATGTATAACACCACATTCTTAGTGAAACATTTCATCAGTTTTCCGTTGTAACCATGGACAACTTTCAATTTCAATATCCACCACAAACCTTTTAAAATTTTTCATGATGAATCGAAATTATTACCGTTGAGGCGTACCATGAGCCACGTCTATTCCATGTATACATTCCATAGGATCTTCAGCACGTAAAATGTTAATTTGCCTTGACCTGAGACCAATCCCCAAGTTTGCGAAATTATAATTACAGTTTACCAGACAAACTTGACTCTGGAAATCAGTCATAGATCACCAATAGAATGTATTCTACTAGTGAGGATTTATTAATTGTATTTACTATTTAGACGTTGAGAAATTAATGTTATTGAGATATATACGGGGTATATTCGGTTTAGTTGAATTTTCCCTACACTGTGTAATTTATACCATCATGTATATCGCAAAAAATGAAATGTTGTTGTCAAATAAAAGTCTTTGAGTTGAATAAACTTCAAAGTTATTTCCTCGCAAAAAGTAATGATTTTCCATCGAAACATAACATAACATTTTCAATAGTACAGTCTGAGATTCCGTGTCATATTTTTCAATCACATTCAAATATAAGTTATGACTCTCAAAAAAATATTGTTATTGATATACTGTTTTTAGAGAAATACCGAGTTTACATTTTTAACCTTGATATGATGAATTTAACAGGTAGATTCCCAAAAAAAATTGAAGTAAATTATGTTATTCTAAAGAAATGAACTTTAAACGTTAAAGCCAATCTCGGATATACCTATACAGTAGGTTGAATGGACTATCACAAAACAACTACTCTCCTGGCTAATACCACGGAGGGCGTTGGATTATATCCTACAGGCGTCAGTGCAGGAATCTTCACAGAAAATTTCCTGCATATGCAATTGGCAATACAACTGAAAGAGTCGACCTACAATTTTGGAACGGACACACACACGGTCGACTCTTTCAGTTGTATTGCCAGTTGCATATGCAGGAAATTTTAAGCATTGTTTTGTACATGTTTTGCACTCTTCTGAGTACAATCTCTCAAAATCATTATTCGGTATATCTTCGAAAACGCTACTAGGTCAGTTCTTCAATTACTGTTATTACGAAATTTCATTCCTTGACTATTATTTCTTTTGAGAATTTCATCGACCCTCGTAGCTGATAATTGAATTGTTGTAATCACTTCATACAGACAGTTGCAATGTAAACATCGAATGAGATTACAATAACCTTGTTCCGAGTGCACTTGATCCGATTTCTATTTTTCGTTCCTTCCGCATACTACTCATGACCTCATTCAAAACTTTGGCTTTGGTAGGAAAGTTTGTTTTAGTAGCAGATAATTTATTTACGAGTACATTCGATCGTTTTAATTAGAGAGTATGCGAAATAAAATATAATAACTGTTTCTTGTACGGCATTTAAATTATATTCGTTATTGAATGTTATTCATTCATATTTATATGAAGATTGAGTTATAAGTATTTTAAATGAATTTTTATTTGGACAAAAAGTAATTAGTTGATTTCATTGACTATTTTTGAGTTTGAAGGGATCCTACATGAAATATTTCAGAACACAGTGCATTTCTTCAATGTCCCCCCTTTTATTTTTTGAACGGGTCAACTCAAAAAATTGAAATTTGGGATAATGAAATTAATGCATGAATACTTTATTTTGGAATAAAATAGACAGATGAAAGTTTCAAGATGGCGACTGGGGTCTTGTGATACATCATTTTGAAGCTCCTAACGAATACTTCTCAACCTTAGAATATGAAGTCAATATCTTCGCCTACTACAAAATGGCGGAACATTCAATAATTTCCTGAACACAAACACATTAATATCGGTATTTCTAGAACTAATCCTTTTTATCTGTCATATGGCAATTCCACAATCCGATAAGGTTTGTCGAGTTATTTTTGTTTATAAAAACGACAAAATTGAAAGCGATTTTTATTTACGGTACGACGCCTAACTTTCACGGGACCGAAAGGATTTTCAATGAACGTTTTCCGAATTGTCCTATTTGTAGAAAATATTTGAGGGAACATGTATCCAAATTCACAATTACCGGTAGTATACATAACAAAAAGCCCCCAGGTCATCCGTCCATTCCGGAAGAACAGCAAGTGCAAATTATTGGTGAGATGGTAGTAAATCCTGAGCAGTCTACTTATTCCGTCGCGAATGTTTGTGAGGTGTCTCCTTCTACTGTGTGGAGACTTTTGAAGAGGAATACATATCACTCATACAAAATTAAAATGGCAAACCAATTAACTGAAGATGACCCTGATCAAAGAACAGAATTCTGCGAAATCATGACGAAAACCATTGCAAGGCATCCTACCTATCTCCACAATATTTGTTATAGTGACGAATATAAATTTTTTTCAAACGGAAATATTCACAGACAAAATTGTCGTTATTGGAGTGACAACAACTCTCACGTTTTCCGGGAAACACATACCCAATATCCAGAAAAAAATTAAAGTTTGGGCAGGAATATTGGGAAACCATATTGTAGGACCTCTATTTATTGATCGAAATTAAACAGGGGAACTGTATTTGAATATGCTGGAAACTATTGTTGATCCTCTCATCACTGAAATCGTCGAAGCGAATCCTAATGAATTCGATATGGATATTGTATTCCAACTGAATGGTGCACCACCGTATTCCTCAAGACAAGTAAGAAACTATTTGGATACAACTTTTCCCGGTCGTTGGAATGGCCGTCGAGGTCCTACAGAATGGCCAGCCCGCTCGTCAGATTTAACACCTTTGGACTTTTTTTTGGAGCTATTTGAAGCAAAATGTGTACAAAACTGAGCCTGCTTCGGAATTGGATATACGCCAGAGAATAATAAATATTTGTAGATATATTGACGTTACTGTGTTCGGTGTGAAATATCTGATAGGCTACTCATATGTCAAGAAGTTCAAGGCAATCATTTCGAGCATCTTCTGAACTGACCTCAAGCGTATTACCTCATATTATGTAGTTAAATGTCAATGTATTCAGGCAATTATTAAAAGTTCCGCATTTTGTAGTAGTTGAAGATATTGACATTATATTCTAGGGTTGTGGAGCATTTGTCAGGAGCTTCAAAAAGACGCGTCACAAGACCGCCCCTTTCCATTTATTTTTTTTCCAGATGGCGTCCAGTCACCATCTTAAAAGTTTCATCTGTCAATTTCACTTCAAAATGAAGTATCCATGCATTAATTTCATTATCGCAAATTTCAATTTATTGTGTTGACCCCTTCAAAAATTAAAAGGGGGGGCATTAAAGAAATGCACTGTATATGGAATTTTGTTCCTTGACGTTTTTGTGTTACGAACATTCCAAAATCTAAAAGATAAATGAATATAGATCTAGAGAGCATCTGCTTCAGAAAAAATATACCTAGTTCTTGAACATTTTGCCTATGAAATAATAGGAACATGCTAGGTGAGGTAGGAAAGTCCTCGTTAATTGTTGGCTCGCACAAGTTTAAACTTCTGAGGGTTGTCGTTTATAGAAAGATGACCAATGGTCAAAGGAAACACTGATTCTTTCACAGAATGAAAAATATAATTCATATAGATTCATATACATACAGGGTGTCACAATAATCGTTTTTTGGTCATTTTTCCGTCTTCAGCTACCTACGATCCATTTCCTGAGTTGTCTGGGTTTTTTGTGGAGTTCTTCGGTGACAATTTTTGTTTCATTCCATTCCATTGCGTGATCACCAGATGATCTTGAAATTTAAAGAAAATACACTTTAATTTGCTCCAATAATCAATTCAATTTCATACTATATTCCATATTTCTCAAAAAAGGTATACTTGAACAATTATAACCTTACATCCGGTCACCAATAGATTTATGGAGTTAAAGTGGTGATATATTACTGGATATCAACATAATTCAATTTAAGTTATGGGTGTTTTTGAATGACAATAAAATCACTTGGTGATTGAAACACGTGTCGAAGTGTTAAAATAACGGTTTGATGTTAGTAAAAACCTCCAGTAATATTCATATTGAGAATAGTTTGGGAGGCTACGACACTTTAATTTTCTTTTGAAAAATATAAGTCATTTGACAAAGAACTGCAATTGATAGTANAAGTTTCATCTGTCAATTTCACTTCAAAATGAAGTATCCATGTATTAATTTCATTATCCCTAATATGACCCTAACAATGTAGAAAATTATCGGCCCATTTTTCTTCTCTTTTTTTTTCGAATTAATTGACAAAGACGATTTATATTGAGATATTGAGATCAAATTCTGTTATATATGAAGTCATGTCATTTAATATTACGACGGCCAGTAAACACAGTTTCAGCTGTAGACTGTACTCCACTGGCTGCAGCATAACAGATTACTTTCAATATATCAGTAATAAGACGAACAGTAGAAATGCCAGTTAGAGCTTTTCGACCTACCACAGGTCTCGTCAACGGCTCTAAGTTAAACCACGAATGTGGTACCCAACTCCTCTTGAAGAATGAGCCTGAGTAAAATGGACTCTCTTACGAAGTTATCTGTGGTATTGACACAAAACTGAAATCTCCTTCATCCAAGATATACAAAGGTTAAGTTAGGTTAGCTCAAGAGTGAGTGTGTCTATTCGACCCATCACCGCAAAACGAACGTGTTTATTGTGGCTCTCACCTATTCACACTCGACCAAATAAACCCAGCTTTTCAACGGACCTATTAGTCTATATGGTAAGTGATCTTTCAGGTCAGATGGTAAGAGTACGTCTCTGCCAAACTCTGAAAACTTGATTTGGCCCCCAGCGTGGCAAGGACCAAAGTATGTGCTCTGCTGTTTCATCATTTTCCAAACAGAGGTGACACACTGTCTTCCGACAGTCCGAGTCTCTACATATGATAATTCAGACGAAAGTGACCTATGAGAAGGCATCGTAGTTCATCCCTTCTGTAGTCCAACGACTGTTTGGTTCCAAGCTAGAGTGGGTCAATTCTGAAATATTTTGCCATAAATCTTCTCGCCATCCTGGTGTTCAATGTTTGTTTGGCAAAACGTAAATCAATGCCACTGGCCCGATAAAGCTACTTGCAGCACCCTCCTTTGCAAGGGAGTCAACAGCCTCATTGCCTTCCAGGACAGTATGGCCTGCAATCCAGACCAGAGACAATTTGTTGAGTCTTCCAATTAGGGAGAGTCGTTTTTGACTATTTGCTACCAATTTAGACGTTGCTCCGTAGGAGCCAAGAGCTTCCAAAGGTACGCACCTACCATAAACAAACTTACCAATTTTCCAATTAACCAAAATTACCTAATCTCTATTTCTGGGAAAAAACTTATCCTAATCTACTTCTCGGAGCTTTTTTAATAAAAAACCTAGCCACATACAGGCAAGTTTCCAACCTTTTTACTCCAAGACGGAGTGAATGAAAATCCCAGAGCGAAAGCAATCGCTCGTTGACAAAATCTTCTAATCGTGGCGGTCTGTTGCAAAGTCAAACTTCTCCATCGATCATCGGGTGGAAAATTGCCTTCTGTTTTTCTCTGAAGTTGTCACAGCAAGGCAACTTGATCACATCAGAGCACCAGAATGATTCGTTGACCAATGCCAGACTTCGCTATTTCGACATAGATCTAATCAGTAGTTTTAGGCTGAACCACGAATGCATTGATTGAAAAAATTTTATTGTATGAGGAATGTTGGTATATTGTTGAGTCTTCATCATTAGGAATATTCAAAGAATAAAAAATAATTAGTTGTGACATGTGATCTACATAGAAAAACAAATTCCACTTATTTCACATGTCCCTGGAATAAATATTGTTTATGGCATAAATTTCAACGCCACATCGACATTCAGGTGAACGATTGCGTTACTGCAACTGTATGGAATTAATGAACCCAATAGTGCAAATATGTTGTTTTGCTTCTTGGTTCGATAAAGTAGAGCATACCTTTCACAGCTGTTCATTCAAGGAACGAAAACAAGTTAACTCTGCATATACCTAGTTATCAAGTGCATGTGATGCTCTGTTGGAGAAAGAATATTTGTCAAAAATTTGATATTGACGAAACATTTCTTTTATTTCAGGAGAGCAAGGTAGAAACGGAATTTCTGGCTTGAAATATATCCAAAAAACACTGTTCCCAAACGCTTTACAACTAATATATTTTGTCACGCATATATATGCAATTTTGTATATAGTTACACTGAATAACACAAAACTCATATAAATGATATCAAGTGCCTTCATTTTCTTATTTTCAGAGCATATTAATAAAATTTCAGATATTCCATCCTTAGGGAGGCAGCATCTACATTTTTTTAGAATATCTGAGTTTGTGAATATTTTCAACAGTTATGACGATTAACCATTGAAACAGAAAACGATAAACAATGGGTTCACAAAGTTCATCAGAACAACGGAGAATATGCCCCTCATTGATTGGTATCGTGAACCTATCGGTTCTGGTAGGTCCCTAAACTACTGGTCGTACCATAAACAGTCGACTAAAATTAATTTGGGCAAAAAAAACGCATTTTCCAGATTTCCGATCTTTCGTTCCTTTGAAAAAACTTCAATATTCCATACCAATTATTCATTAATAACTCCTATCCATATCCTCTGTAGAAAATCTTATTTAGAACGTCTTCCAGTAACGTTCAACTTTATGGTAATAACAACCAGTTGCATCAAACTCCTTTCCAGTGTAATGGTATAATGGTAAATTGTTTTTCTGAATAAATAAACTCCTATTAATTTTCAATAAAAATTAGTTTACTGAATGTCATGTATGAATTGTAGAAGTGAATATATTGGTCAAACATCAAGACTACTCAAAAATAGGATTATTTCTCACTAAATCATGTATTCAAAGAAGGTTACAAAATGGACTACAATTCTACAAAAATTTTAACAATAAAAAAAATGAATCTAAAAGATTGTTCATGTAAATGTCATTTATTTTATAATCAGAGAACTGATATCAACCACCTCAGCGAAATCTATGCCTCTTTGCTTGATATAAAAATATACCTGAATTCCAAAGTAGTGATACTTCTGAAATTTCCCTAGAATAAATTATAAATTTCAGTCCTTTACATATATGAATAACATAATATTGCCTTTCAATAAGATATTACTTTCGGATCCAATTATCATCCATTATCATAAAACAAGTTCCTCTTCAGACAACTGAGAATTGTGGAGTACTAATAATTAAATTTGAAGTTGATACATTTGGCATTGAGTTTTCTCATTGTTATCCATACATTAACAGCAGATGTCTCTCATCACACTTGCACCAGAACTGTTCCAATTGTTCTATAGTTTCAACATGGACAAACATATCCTCAAACTGAATTTCTTGTCTCTCTCTCTCTCTTTCTCTTTGGTACCAAGCACATGGTCTCCTACCGGTAAATTATATTTTGAACACATTCAGATGTTTTACCCAGTTTTATCCAGAATCCAGCCTATTTTGACTTAGTGACTTGTCTGATTATACTGACATGTATTATTTTTATGAATTTCACATCTTTTTTGACACTACCATCCGCAACAACAATAAGTTTCAACATTGTAAATTTCAAAAGTTGAACTTTCAACACCATTGATCATGAACTATTCGGCCGTTACTTGATGAAGATCCGTGGTAATTTCTTAAACTGCACTCTCATAAACCTACCTACAAACTGTAAGTAAGAGGGATAGCTAACAGTTGGATATCACATCTTGATGGAAGAAGACAATTTGTAGTACTCAACTATAACAGATCTGATATTCATATCATATCTCAAATAGTGCCGCAGGAATCAGTTCTCAACCCACATGGCAGGAGTGTGTAGTATACGCTAAACATATAGTTCAGCTATTTTATTATCACTGTTTCAATTCAAAGTTACCATGAACTCCAGTCTACTTATTAAGATGAATCAAACATAATTTCAACAAATGACTACATTTTTAGCAGTAACAATTGATCATAAAATGGTGTGGGAAGAACGTATTCAGAACGTGGTTGGTAAATTGAACTGTTTGTGCTTTTAACTTATACAGCTACGTAACTTCAACCTTTGTTATCCAGAAAAGAGCTTTGAGAATATTATTCAAATTGAGGATGTGTGACTCGGAAGGCCTCAGCAGAAATGAAATAATAACAATATTTGAAATATGCATTCTAGAGACTGTCTGCTCATTTCACAAACATAAAGAAAAGTTTGAAAGCCATACAGAAAGGTCTACGCGTAGTGATGAAAAACTTGCCCTTCCACTGCCCACATCATGACCAGGCAGTTTCAAATCTATAGAAGTAGACAAATATATAATCATCTACCAAAACATATTACATCAATTAATGAATTTAAAAAATTTAGAAAATCAGTAAAGAACCTTGTTTTGGGAAAGTGCTTCTATAGTTTGGAAGAGTATTTTTCATACAAATTCTAGTCTTTCGGTATACCACGATGTATATTACGAGTTATGTCAAGTTGTTATGTTATTATGTATTTTTGTGAATACTATATAATCTTAAAAAACAACATTTTATATATTCTTAACAGTTTATGTATTTATAAACATGACACATTTTGTCGACAAATTGTATTACATTTTAGACAATAAAGATCTATCTATCTTGTTCAATCTATACTCGTCCTTTCTTTAGGCATCGTTTTCTGAATATCATGAAGCAGATTTTTTGAGATGTATGATGGAAATTAAACTCCTGCATCATATAAAATTATTATAAAAAGT